GCAATGTCCACAACTTCAACTGGCGCTGCAACAGAGGGCGCCCCGCCTAGCACTCCACGCACTGGGGTGCCTGGCTGACGCGTGCTCGCCGGCATGGCAGGCGTCGGTCTCTGGGGATCGGTAAGAGTGGACCCGAATAGGAGTGCCCAACTGTGAGGCCCAATGTAGAGCTCGTCAAGGAAGCCCAAATGCACTTGAGCCAGCCGAAAGCGGCCCCAATGCAATCCGAAGCGGCCCCAAATGCCCTCGAGTTCGCTCGGAGACGGCCCAGGAGGCCTCAACCATGGCCCGACACAGCCTCAGATGGCCTCAAGAGGGCCCCCGAAGCCGCAAACCAGCCCCCCCGAATGCCGAACACGATCCAGGGATGCTTGCCCTCGCCAAAATAGCGACTCCAGACACCCAAGACACTCAAGGCTTCCCAACATGCCGCCGACAACATGCTCAAGGAGCCCCGAGAGCCGAATCGCATGCATTTTACGCTTGCAGGGTCCCGAACGGCCTCGAGCTCGCTATCACCAGGTGGAGAAAAGGCACCAGAGGCTTCTAAGACGACCCACGAAGCCGCCGTGAAGCCCCCCCAGACTTGGCCAACATGGTCCAAAGAGCCTCCCCTTCACTGGCCGTGAAGCCCCCGAGACCTGTCCAAAATGATCCAGAGAGGCCCCCCTTCACCAACCTGACGACCCACGACGCCCAGGACAGCGTCCGAAAAGCCCAGGGTGCCTCCAAGACGCCCCGAGAAGTCCCCTGCAAACTTCCCAAAAGCGCCTCAAGACGGCCGTAGAGGGCCCCGAGACAACCCAAGAGGCCCCCACGACTGCCCAGGAGGGCAACGCGAGGCTCCCGAGACAGCTCCCGCGGGGCCCACGACACCCCCATGAAAGCCCACTCACGCCCAGAGACCCCCATGACGGCCCAGGGACAGGGACACGCTGGAACGACGACGAGGACGTCCACTAGGACGAGGACGAACCTCAATGAGTTTCGCAGCCGTCATGTTCCGTGCGTCGCAAATGGTTGGGACCTCAACCAGAACCGAAGCGCCCGCGAAGCGCGCGCGTGGTTGTAGTACATGTATGGTTGTATGTATGTATGTAGTGTATGTATGTGTGCATGCATGCACGCATGCATGTATGTATGCACGCATGTATGCATGTATGGATGTAGGCATGTGTGTATGTACGTATGTATGTATGTATGTATGTATGTGTGTATGCATGCATGCATGCATGCATGCATGCATGCATGTATGCATGCATGTATGTATGTATGTATGTATGTATGTATGTATGTATGTATGTATGTATGTATGTATGTATATATATGTATGCATGTGTGTATGTATGTATGTATGTATGTATGCATGCGTGTATGTATGTATGCATGCATGCATGCATGCATGCATGTCTGTATATAGGTAGAGATGTATGCATGCATGCATGTATGTATGTATGGTGTATGCATATGTGTATGTATGCCTATATGAATGCATGTGTGTATGTTTGTATGTATGTATGTAGGTAGGCAGGAAATAGGTATGTATGCATGTATGTGTGTATGTATGTATGGATGTATGTATTGATGTAGGTATGTACGTACGTATGTATGTATGTATGTCTGTATGTATGCTTGCATGCATGCATGTATGTATGAATGTATAGTTATATACATATGTATGCATGTATGTTTGTATGTATGTATGTATGTATGTATGTAGGTATGTATGTATGTATGTGTGCATGTATATTTGTATGTATGTATGTATGTACGTACGTACGTACGTACGTACGTATGTATGTATGTATGTATGTATGTATGTATGTATGTATGTATGTATGTATGTATGTATATATGGATGTATCTATGTATGTATGTATGTATGCATATATATATGCACGCATGTATGTATGTATGTATGTATGTATGTATGTATGTATGTATGTATGTATGTATGTATGTATGTATGTATATATGTAGGTATGCATGTATGCATGTATGCATGTATGTATGCATGCATGTATGTATGTATGCATGCATGCATGTATGTATGTATATATGTAGATGTGCGTATATGAATATATACATATACATATATACACACATATATATATATGGTTCTATGAAAACGCGTGCTCTGCCGCTGCAGGCAGAACCCGGCGGGGGTCACCGGGGGGTTTCAAACCCGTCCCCCCCTCGAAAACCAGGGGGGGTCACTGGGGTTCCAAACCCGCTCCCCCCCGTTCCATCATGAAAAGGGGGGGTGGTCACTACAGGTTCGAATCCCCACTCCGTCCTCCCCTCCTCGCCGCTGGCATACGACTCCCCCTCCCCCCCACTCCGGATGGGGGACTGGTGGGGACAGTGATTGGGACGGTGGTGGGGCGGGCGGCGGGGAGTGGGGACAGTGGGACAGTGGTGGGGGCAGTGGGGACAGTGGGGAGAGTGGGACCGTAGTGGGGACAGTGGGAAGAGTGGGACAGTGGTGGGGACAGCTGGG